TTATTAGTAGTAGTAGTAGTATCAAGTTCAGAAGTTTAATCAGAGAAAGAAAAGGTTGTAGCTAAATTTATTAGCTTTGATTTGTCTGAATTTTAACTGCCTTTGTCCACTTTTATATTATAATTTTATATTATAGTTTTAGCAAACAGTATGTCAATCTTATCTGGGAATCTGTGGGATGTCAACTGTCCAATGTGAGCCTCAGGCCTGTTGTCCTCCCTTTCAGACCTGCTCAGATGGACTGAAATGTGTGGAGATAAGCTGCCCTCTGCTGGGTTTGGACAGTAGTTCAGTGATGGTTCTACATTCACACCTGTGGAACACCACCTTCACAGAGGTTCACATTTCTGTGAAATGCATCAACACTGACTAATAACAGTGATTAAAATGCTTCAGTTTTGTTGCTTTAACACCATGTTTCCAATAATTATTAACTTTTAGCTTTGTGACTGCAATACCACTCACTCATTTATTTTGCCTCTCCCCATTTAGGATTACAGTTCTTTGAACTACCTGGACATTGTTGTGGATGCTACTCTCAGTTTAACACACTCTCCAGAGAATATTGGACTGAAACCAGAGAAGCCTGGGACAAAGGTGCTTTAAAAAGAAGATTTTGTTAACATATTCTATGTTGGTGATTCTACATTTGTGCATTACTCAACTCAATAACCCCTTTGTCCACAGGTAAAACTGACAGTGTTCCTTGAGAAAAAAGCAGAATATTTCACCAAAGTTGCCTGGTGGATAATCTTCCTGACAGTCATTGCATTGCTCCTGTTGTTGGCAGTTGTTGCCTTCTTGTTGTGGAAGGTAATTAGATCATTTACATTTAGCTGAAGCTTTTATCCAAAGCGACTTACAATTGCTATATATGTCAGAGGTTGCACGATTGAACCCAAGTCTCTCACACCAAAGGCATGCGTCTTATCCATTGCGCCATCACCACCCCTGATCAATCTACAGTGGGTACGGAAAGTATTCAGACCCCTTTAAATTTTTCACTCTTTGTTTCATTGCAGCCATTTTCCAAAAATCAAAAAAGTTCATTTTATTTCTCAGTAATGTACACTCAGCACCCCATCTTGACAGAAAAAAACAGAAATGTAGAAATTTTTGCAAATTTATTAAAAAAGAAAAACTGAAATATCACATGGTCATAAGTATTCAGACCCTTTGCCGTGACACTCATATTTAACTCAGGTGCTGTCTATTTCTTCTGATCATCCTTGAGATGGTTCTACACCTTCATTTGAGTCCAGCTGTGTTTGATTATACTGATTGGACTTGATTAGGAAAGCCACACACCTGTCTATATAAGACCTTACAGCTCACAGTGCATGTCAGAGCAAATGAGAATCATGAGGTCAAAGGAACTGCCTGAAGAGCTCAGAGACAGAATTGTGGCAAGGCACAGATCTGGCCAAGGTTACAAAAAATTTCTGCTGCACTTAAGGTTCCTAAGAGCACAGTGGCCTCCATAATCCTCAAATGGAAGACGTTTGGGACGACCAGAACCCTTCCTAGAGCTGGCCGTCCGGCCAAACTGAGCTATCGGGGGAGAAGAGCCTTGGTGAGAGAGGTAAAGAAGAACCCAAAGGTCACTGTGGCTGAGCTCCAGAGATGCAGTCGGGAGATGGGAGAAAGTTGTAGTAAGTCAACCATCACTGCAGCAATCCACCAGTCGGGGCTTTATGGCAGAGTGGCCCGACGGAAGCCTCTCCTCAGTGCAAGACACATGAAAGCCTGCATGGAGTTTGCTAAAAAACACCTGAAGGACTCCAAGATGGTGATAAATAAGATCCTCTGGTCTGATGAGACCAAGATAGAACTTTTTGGCCTTAATTCTAAGCGGTATGTGTGGAGAAAACCAGGCACTGCTCATCACCTGTCCAATACAGTCTCAACAGTGAAGCATGGTGGTGGCAGCATCATGCTGTGGGGGTGTTTTTCAGCTGCAGGGACAGGACGACTGGTTGCAATCGAGGGAAAGATGAATGCGGCCAAGTACAGGGATATCCTGGACGAAAACCTTTTCCAGAGTGCTCTGGACCTCAGACTGGGCTGAAGGTTTACCTTCCAACAAGACAATGACCCTAAGCACACCGCTAAAATAACGAAGGAGGGCTTCACAACAACTCCGTGGCTGTTCTTGAATGGCCCAGCCAGAGCCCTGACTTAAACCCAATTGAGCATCTCTGGAGAGACCTGAAAATGGCTGTCCACCAACGTTTACCATCCAACCTGACAGAACTGGAGAGGATCTGCAAGGAGGAATGGCAGAGGATACCCAAATCCAGATGTGAAAAACTTGTTGCATCTTTCCCAAAACGACTCATGGCTGTATTAGATCAAAAGGGTGCTTCTACTAAATACTGAGCAAAGGGTCTGAATACTTATGATCATGTGATATTTCAGTTTTTCTTTTTTAATAAATTTGCAAAAATTTCTACATTTCTGTTTTTTTCTGTCAAGATGGGGTGCTGAGTGTACATTACTGAGAAATAAAATGAACTTTTTTGATTTTTGGAAAATGGCTGCAATGAAACAAAGAGTGAAAAATTTAAAGGGGTCTGAATACTTTCCGTACCCACTGTATAATAGTGGTTTTTGGGGTTGCTTTTGATAATTGTGGTAAACATTACATTCCAAGGCATTGAATAAAAACATCCAAAAAGTTATACATCCTTTTGAATTATACAGAACTCAATGCTTTGTATTTACAATCTGCTTATTCAAAGTTTGAGGTAACTGCAAGATTTCACTCTTAATAATGCAGGATAATAAAATTGAATTTCACTCTAATGCAGTACATTTGGTGTTCTAAATTCAGAATAATCTACCTTCAAAATGTTGAGAAATACATTCATTGTATTTTTATGGACTGTCTCAGTAAATGTAGTGTATAAATGTTTAGTACTGACTCATATTTTCTCTCGTCAGCGTGGATGCGTGAACTGTCTTGCTCAGAACAAGAAGCCCTCACATAAAGGAGATCCAAACACAGAGACTGCTCACCTTACAGGCTAAAAGTAAAACAAAGGTGTGCCTCAGTGGTATGAGACACACATGTCACGAACACAAGAGCTTAAGGCTTTGATTCCGGCTCAAATACTTTCTAACACTAGTGCAGATCTACATGGTAATACATTGGTTAGGAGATATAGATAGATATATCTATCTCTATCTAGATATATATCTAGATCTATCTATATATACAGTGAGGAAAATAAGTATTTGAACACCCTGCTATTTTGCAAGTTCTCCCACTCAGAAATCATGGAGGGGTCTGAAATGGTCATCGTAGGTGCATGTCCACTGTGAGAGACATAATCTAAAAAATCAGAAATCACAATGTATGATTTTTTAACTATTTATTTGTATGATACAGCTGCAAATAAGTATTTGAACACCTGAGAAAATCAATGTTAATATTTGGTACAGTAGCCTTTGTTTGCTTGGTTGTTACAGAGGTCAAACGTTTCCTGTAGTTTTTCACCAGGTTTGCACACACTGCAGGAGGGATTTTGGCCCACTCCTCCACACAGATCTTCTCTAGATCAGTCAGGTTTCTGGCCTGTCGCTGAGAAACATGGAGTTTGAGCTCCCTCCAAAGATTCTCTATTGGGTTTAGGTCTGGAGACTGGCTAGGCCACACCAGAACCTTGATATGCTACTTACAGAGCCACTCCTTGGTTATCCTGGCTGTGTGCTTCGGGTCATTGTCATGTTGGAAGACCCAGCCTCGACCCATCTTAAATGCTCTAACTGAGGGAAGGAGGTTGTTCCCCAAAATCTCGCAATCCATGGCCCCAGTCATCCTCTCCTTAATACAGTGCAGTCGCCCTGTCCCACGTGCAGAAAAACAGCCCCAAAGCATGATGCTACCACCCCCATGCTTCACAGTAGGGATGGTGTTCTTGGGATGGTACTCATTCTTCTTCCTCCAAACACTGTTAGTGGAATTATGACCAAAAAGTTCTATTTTGGTCTCATCTGACCACATGACTTTCTCCCATGACTCCTCTGGATCATCCAAATGGTCATTGGCAAACTGAAGACGGGCCTTGACATGTGCTGGTTTAAGCAGGGGAACCTTCCGTGCCATGCGTGATTTCAAACCATGACGTCTTAGTGTATTACCAACAGTAACCTTGGAAATGGTGGTCCCAGCTCTTTTCAGGTCATTGACCAGCTCCTCCTGTGTAGTTCTGGGCTGATTTCTCACCTTTCTTAGGATCATTGAGACCCCACGAGGTGAGATCTTGCATGGAGCCCCGGTCCGAGGGAGATTGACAGTCATGCTTCGCTTCTTCCATTTTCTAATGATTGCTCCAACAGTGGACCTTTTTTCACCAAGCTGCTTGGCAATTTCCCTGTAGCCCTTTCCAGCCTTGTGGAGGTGTACAATTTTGTCTCTAGTGTCTTTGGACAGCTCTTTGGTCTTGGCCATGTTAGTAGTTGGATTCTTACTGATTGTATGGGGTGGACAGGTGTCTTTATGCAGCTAACGACCTCAAACAGGTGCATCTAATTTAGGATAATAAATGGAGTGGAGGTGGACATTTTGAAGGCAGACTAACAGGTCTTTGAGAGTCAGAATTCTAGCTGATAGACAGGTGTTCAAATACTTATTTGCAGCTGTATCATACAAATAAATAGTTAAAAAATCATACATTGTGATTTCTGGATATTTTTTTTTTAGATTATGTCTCTCACAGTGGACATGCACCTACGATGACAATTTCAGACCCCTCCATGATTTCTGAGTGGGAGAACTTGCAAAATAGCAAGGTGTTCAAATACTTATTTTCCTCACTGTATATATATATAGATAGATATCTCTCTCTATATATATATAGATATATATAGATATATATTTTAACCATTTGTACTTTAAATAAAACGTATAACTGAAATGCAGATACCGTTTTTTTTTAAGTTGCATGTTTTTTGCTGCTTTGTAAAAATAAAAATAAAGCAAACAACATACAGTACTTGTCTTGACTTTTTTTAATGAAGCAGAAAATATCACTCGTTTGATTCCAAAAAACTGTTACAACAACATGAAAAAAGTTGTGCTATATTTTCACCATAAAGGAATGTGCGAGTAGTGGGAATGATTGGGAGGTTGCGGTAAAGAACAATTTAACTGAAAGATTACAGTCACCACATCCTATTGTGACTGCTGATAATCGAAAGCACATATGATTACAATACTGTTGCATTAGAAATACTGTGAAATACTGTTTTTTTCCATTTGCAGTTGTGCAACATAATACTGTGTTTGTGTTGAAGTCTTTTACATGGCCCCTACTGATTTTGAAAGGTTTCATGCCAAAATTTAATTTGACATACAAATGATTAACTATTACATTGCTGGCATGAATCACTCACCAATATTAACACCAAACTTTATAAATCTTTTACCTACTCTTTATAAAAGGAGTGTTGTTTTAGAGGATAAAATCATCTTTGTCGTATGCCATGTAATTAAAAGTAGTAATGTAAATACTTTAGACAAAATTTTAGAATGAAACCCTTCTCTTGCCATTTTTTTTGTACAGGTGCAACTGCCCATTTCTCTATAAGTGTACTTCTGTTAGAACCAAGTGAATTCACTCAACAGAAAAGTGTCATTTCACAGCATCTATACATTCATATTGTATTCTCTGTATCTCTGTTCTTTTTTGGGATCCTATCAATCAACTTCCGTCATCTTTAAGAAAAAGTTCAACATTTTGAGAAATATTTTATTTACTTTCTTGCCAAGAGTTGCAAGTGGAGCTAGCGCCTGATTAGCATAGCTTAACAGAACATGGAAACGGGGAAAAGGCTAGCCTAGTTCTGTTCAAAGACAACATAACCTGGCATCCAGCATCTCTGAAGCTCTCCAATTAACACATATCTTGTTTGTTTAGTTTGTACAAAAAGTATGAAAATTAAATTAGCCGTTTTATTTGTTGTGACTATTTCTTGGCTAAGACCAGGAACTTTCTGGAGTCTCTGCTGGTGACTTGGCAACTGCTCCCAGCCAAGAAATAGTCCACACATTATCCCACGACAATGTCATTTGTGTCACAATGTGTTAATTAGTGAGCTTTTAAAAGGTGCTGGTAGGCAGATTGATACATTTGGATAGACCCCCCCCCCCCATTTCCATTTTTTATGCTATGGTAACTGATCAGCTACTGGCTATAGCTTCATATTTATCATACAGACATGAATGGTATCAATCATCTCATCTAACTCTCAGCAATAAAGTGACTTAAGTGGATTTCCCAAAATGTCATACTAATCCTTCACTCTTTTCATCCTTTGTCCATTGATGACCACTACTCACAAGTTTTGTTTTTCCTTCTTGAATAGCCTTTGATTTCATCTTCGTCAAAACACATTCAACATACAAAAGGTAAGAGCCACCATCCCTCAGCTCTTGACAGCATCTGTCTTTTAGTCAGCATTCAATCCAATTTTACATCACATCATTAGCTCACTCACTGTTTTTATCATTTTTTTGTTGCTTTTAGGAAAAATATGTAGAAAAGAGCAGCATTAAAAAACATCCCAACATCTTTAGAACCGTGGATCCAAAATATACAACAACAACATAAAACCATCATACAAACACACACTGCGCTCCCTAACAATCTCTTGTTAAGGCTAAAAACACCAGAAAAAAAAAACTGTTTGATAATTCATTTGTTTTGATCAGACAATATTTTTAAATGGCTGGTTTGCAAAAAGTAAATACAACTTGATTTTTCCTTCCCCCCCTCCCCCTTTTATACCAGAGAAAGTTAAGACAATTACTTCTTTTATAAGATAGAAACACTCAACCTCTTGCCTTAAAAAAATCATAACAATAATAATAATGACATTATATTACAAATAAATTAAAAACATCAATATATTACATTAAGTAACCCCTCATCATCACAAGTAACTGCAAATTAATTTGAGCTTTTAGGTACAATCAAAGTAAGCCCCTTGTTTGGTTTCAAGAGTCATTAGTGTTGACTTTTTTTAATCTCCAAGCCAAAATATGGAAGTTTAATTAGTAACATTTAATTTGCTCGCCTAACTCCACAGGATAAAAAATAAGCCAAATCACAATTGAATTAAAATCAGGATACAATTAAATAAATTAACTTAATTCAAAGAGAAAGGCAGCAAACAAACTCACTGCTCACTGAAACTACACGTTAATTGACTGGCACGACTCTCCATCTCACAGACCACCAAACCATGAGACCACAAACTTCATCCCCCAAATGCTGCTAATTCATTTGCTGTTGTAGTACTTTGTTTCTCTTTCATCCCCCAAGGCCTATATGCTCATTGCACACCATTCAGCAACAGGACCCCAACCGGCCAAACATCTGACTAATGGCACTAAAAAACTGGCATTACTTATTAATGAAAATTTGTTAATAATCATCAATGCCTATTTTGTGGTGTGGGCAGTAGGAAAAATATTCACGTTAACTTATTTATTTTGTGGTGTAAACAGGTTTTTGATTATTGCGAAATTAGCCTGTTTTGTCTTTTTCTGCTGGTGTAACCAAATGGAATGAAATTTTTGTATTTTGTTTTTTCCCCCCCCCTCACAATGTGCTTGAAACTCCAGCAGCATCTGACAGAAAACCTCAACCTCCAGAATATAATAACGAGCTATCTCCACATGGGGGCAACAGTGACCATGAAGGGCAAAGCCAACAAAGGAACCAGGGAGAAAGTGAGCTGGCTGGTTTTAGATCTGACCCTTCCATGGCCGTTGTTTCGGTTCCACTTGGACCCATTTCTTTCTCGGCCTCGAGGCGGCTTTGGGGGGTTGGAGGCAGGGTTATGAGGAGGTTTGTTGTAGGTGGGGGCATTAGGCCCATAGCCTGGCCAATCATCATTGTACCTTTCGCCGTGATCTCCTCCCCCTGAGCCACTCCCCTCCTCACCTGGAACAAAGAATAAGCCTTCTGACTGATGGAGGTAAATAGTTAGGGTCAATTATCTATCAGTGGTGTTACAAAGTACACATACAGAAGGCTGTATCACTTAATACTCCTTTTAGGATATACATACACAAATATATAGAATGACTGCCAGGAACACTCACTGTCCATGAAGTCCATGTCGTGTCCACTCTGAGCGTGTCTCAGTTTGTTGGTCACCACCCTCAGCTCCATGATCAGCTGTCTGGTCCTCACATCTGGCTTGGCAATATCCACTTCCACCTCGGGGTTGTTGATCTGGCTGACCAGACCGTCGCCTGTCACATCCGGGAGGTACCTGAGTGTGCACACAAAGAGGCGTTCATGTACACACACACACACACACACACACACACACACACACCTTTTCAAAGCAGCACTAGGAAACTTCCCTCAGTGTGGCTTCAAATGGCAGCAAGGGAAGTGAAACTCGAGGCAAAATTAATGAGTATCACACCACCACAAGTTTACAAACTATATTTTTGCAATAACCATCATTACTGCATGAGGGGAAGCAACTCACTCTCTGCCAATCTAAGTTTAAACAACACGATAGCCTTTTGTAAACAAATATGGATTTCTTGAACTGCCTGCCATTTTTTAGGCCTATATGCAAACAGCTCAACTCTAGAGATGCTGGTGGGTCAACACTTTGATCCACACTGAAATATCTCAGCAACAGTTGATGGGTTGCCATAACATTTTGACGTTTATGGCCCACAGAAAATGAATCCCACTGGCTTTGGTTATCCCCTGACTTTTCCTCTGGCGGCAAAATGAGATTTTTAGGTTTGACATTCCCATCAGCCTCAGATGTACTTTATATTTAATGTTAAGTAACACTAAACATTGTATTTGCTTAGCACCAGCATGTTGTCATTGTCATTTTGAGCATGTTAGCATGCTGACGTTAGCATTTAGCTGAGAGCACTGCAGTGCAGCCTCACAGTGTCGCTAGTTTGGCTGTAGACTCTTTGTCTTGTTTTTAAATTTATAGCCTTTTTGGTTGGTTGTTGGAGGACTGACTGTTTTTAAGTAGAAACAATGTTGTACCATATCTACAGAACAAGTACCACCATATCTACTAAAAACTACATATTGAAATGTCCCCAAAACATTTTTACCAAAGTTTTATAATATGAAGTGCTGATAATTAATTTATTTGAGTACTCTGATTTTAGCATTGAACAATTGTAATAGATGTGTTATTTTGGTCATTTGACATTATTTTATACTAGCACATGTTTAGCTGCAGTAACATTTTGTGATTAAAGCTGCTAAGGTGGGTGTACCTAACTGTTGCCTAATGCAGCTGGAACATCACAGACACACAATCATTCATAAGTAGACTTGCTTTTCCTGTCCACACACACACACACTCTCTAAATAAGCCTCGATACATGGTGTCATGCTGTATCTGTGTGCATAAAAGCAAGCAGGCCCACGCAGAGATCATGTGGGTGACTGGTGGTGGCAAAATTAAATAAACTCCGTTCCCATCTGTTGCATCCCTGCCACCGCTGCACTCACTCCTCCTCCACTTCTACCGAACCCCTCCCTCCACCCCTCCACCCCTCCACTCTGATCTCACTTACCTCCCTCGGGTCTGCCCATTCCAGCAGCGGTCCTCATTAGTGACGTCGGTAGCCATCTTCTCATCGTTGCAGATGGTGTGTGGGAGGGACACCCAGAAGCCACGCATGGGCCGCAGTCGTTCCTTCAGCTCGGTAACCTGCACGGAGGCGTAAAGAAATTGGTTATGACTCAGACCTGGTTTTAAAGCATCCTTTTTTGGTATGGCTGGCTGGAGGAAGCATATTGAAGCTGCAGTGCTGACGTTGGGCAAAGTCAAAAACTGATATGACACAGTTTCTGGGTCAGCTCTAACCCATATATCTCTTTCATTTTTTATAAATAGATACCCACTATGCTCTTTCTCTCTCCTCTGCTCTTGGTTTCATTTATTTTCCAGCCCTTCCATCTTGCAAACCCACTGTGGTCACAGGAATACTGTCTGGGCTCTGACCACGGCACACAAGCTTAGACAACTACTGTTGTTCATCCTCTCATTGCTTTCTGCTTAGTTGCTATGTCTGAATCCTGGTGCATGCACAATGCAAACTTTTAAGACATATATAATTTCAGTTTCAATATAATATATTGAAATCACAACCCAAAACGATGACCTCCATATAAAAAGCATTTTAGTACATGAGTACTTAAAGCTACACTAATCAATATTTCTATCTAAGCCATGGATGAAATTACCATGTGTGATGTGAAAAGAGTGGCTCGTGGTGAGGAACCCACAGATAATTACAGTCTGACTGCAGTTTCCTTCAGCTTTACAGGGTGTTTTAGTATCTTTCAGCTCATTGTTTTGGTTGTCTGGCAATTTTAATGTCTTGGTTCTCTCTAATTGCTCCCGTTGTTGTCTGACGTGAAAAAGCTTTAAAAACCCACTGTATGTTACCTGCCCAGCACAAAAAGGCGACTAGCTGGTGAACATAATAAATTCACCAATGGGCCAGAAACATTTTAAATGAATGCTAATGTTGGTTTTTGTCTGTTGGATATGTAATAGCCACTATTTGACCACACCAACTTTATAAGATAATAATATGTCAATGTTGTGTTTACTTTATTTTGCTCCCTCCATTTGTGGCCAAAACATCCATTAATGCAGGTTTAAACTGTTTTTAATTAACCATTTTAAATAATATCAATGGATGAGTAGCTACTTAACCCAGTTTCCACAGGGTATGGAATGGTTTCCATGTTTCCATGGTAATATGGTTTCTTCCTTACCAGTCGGTCCAGGTTAGTGCCTGCAGCAGTGGTGGGTTTCTCTTCTGGGCTGTAGGTGCGGAAGGGCCTCCTGTTGCCCCCTGACTCTTTGGGTGAGCGTTTGGACCGTCCTGGAGCTGGCCTGGGACTTCCACAACCTTGGAACACCTGATGTAAACAACATCAAACCAGTCCCAGTGTAAACAGCTTAGTAACAAGCATTTTTATCATTTTAATAAAGCATAATTTTCATTACAGGTTTTCCACTGCTATCTGATCATTTAAGGGCACATGGGTATTCTTTCACAGATATTCTCTAGTCTGTGGGACAGAGTCTGATTTGACTTTTTTTGTTGCGCTCACTCTCTTTCAAACTGTCTTGTAACCATCTACTTCATTTAAAGTACCCCAAGAACGGTTCAACAAAGCAATCATTGCTCTTTTTGAGAGTCTGGGGCTGGCATGAGCCACTTAGCATCGTAGCACATCGTAATAAGCAAGATACTGAAATATAGGATCAATAAATTAGGTCTATACTTGATTTACTGGGGGCATGTGTAACTATTTAGTAGTTACTTAGAGTTATCTTGTAACTTATCTCTGTGTTGCAACCACTTTTATTTTAGTAATGTATAAATCACAACTTAGTAATAATTTAAGTTATAACTAGGCTGTTTGAACTTTCACACAACTAGTGGCTGTTTTTTTAAGCTAACCTTATTGGTAATATGGCAAATGAGGAAGAGGTTTCCAATTCATAACTTGGCAAAAAAGACCAGAGTGTACACCTAAAAATGTTGCAATTGAACTAGAAACTTGCAATATAATAATATATAATTTTAAAATGGTTCTCCCTAACCTCCACAATCACAGAAGAAACATAAAGCTGAGCTGTGAAGGAAAGAGCTGCATATTCCTTGAAGCGTGCTACCACAAAACGGGGGTAGTTTCTAACAAGATGTGGGTGTCCCTCTGGTGGATTAGCTGCTGGGACGCCTGCCATGTTTTAATCATACTGTTAGGCTGTCATGCTCTCTGTGTATAATTCCTGTAATTTTTAACTGCATGCAATATCATTAAGAAGATTAAAATTAAACAGTATTCAAGGTTATAGCTTTGACTTGTAATTGTGACTGTAGATTATCTTGACGCACTCACAAAAGGTTCATAAATACTCGAAGTGCACTGTTTTTGTGGAGGAACCGCTAGTCTGCAAAATCCACGTAAACTAATTAAAAAAAAATACATTAATGTCCATTTTATTTCCACACTCATCTACTTGTGCCCTCTTCCTTGCCTTAGTTGAGATGCTGACACTGTTTTCCTGCATGTGCATGATGGCCTCTGAAACCTTTACGGAGATGGAGTCGGCTGCGAGCTCCATGTTGAATGGCCCCTCCAACTTCTCTGAAACCTGGTACAGAGCATCTGATAGAGGAGAGAAGGGAGATACAGAAATAGAGATGGAAAGGTGATAAAGTTTGCTATGACTACATTCAACCAAGTTCTCATTGTCTGGTATTACAGGCAAAGAAAAAACACTGGTCTATTCTAGACCCTGATAAACATAAAGACAATAGTTCCTTGTGTCTGGAACCTATCACTGACATACAAGGTAAGGCTTTATATCTGTGAATGAGGTGTTCAGGTTACAGGGCTGTAAGATTAGAAAGAGTGCCAACATCACAAAGAGAACTGAAAAATAAGGAAGAGAACGGTGGTTGGAGAAAAGGGTACATGAGCGTAACATGAGCTCGGGTGCAGTACAGATGGATGGATGAAAGGTAAATGTAAAACACTGCATGTGAAAAGAACTAAAAGGAAGTTATGTATGGCTTTGATAAAAGGGGACACATTTAGTGAAGGAGCAGGGAAGCATGAATAATTAATGGAGGGGGAATTCATTAGGGGGACAGGAAGCAAAAGTAAATTAGTGACGCCTGCAGCAGTAAAAGGAGTCTACTTTTAGATATGCTCAATTTAAAGAACAACAGTATGTAAGGATGTATTGTTCATCCTACCCACCAATGAAATTGTTCCATTCTGTGTCTAGGTCGGCCTGATTGGCTAAGCAGCCCTTCATCACGTTAAGGCACAGGGAGTGGCAGGGCCGCAGGGAGGGCATGCCTCGACACAGCGGGCAGTACCACTGACGCATCAGGCCACGCACACACTCTGAATCTGCAGTCAACTGAAAAACAAAGCATCAGGTCGAAGAGTCAGGGGCAGAAGAAGAATAAATACAACATTAGTAGTATTAACTTTACATAAGGGACTTCATATGTTTGGCATCCACTGTTGACAAATGTAGAGCTGAAATGATTAGTTGATAAATCAATTAGTCAATAGACAGAAAATGAATCTGCAACTGATGATTAAATAATAATTTTTTAAGCAAAAATGCCAAATATTTGCTTGTTCCAGCTTCTCAGACGTGAGGATTTGATTCTTTTCTTTGTCATATATGATAGTAAACTGTTTGTTTGTTTTAAATATGTTTGGGTTTTTGACTGTTAGCTATCTGAATATGTCACCTTGGCCTCTGGGAAATTAAAATAGGCATTTTTCACTACCTTCTAGCATTCTATAGACAAAACAATTCATCTGAAAATAATCAATAAGGAAAATTGTTAGCTGCAGGACTAGATTAAATTGAGTCCAACTTTTACTGAATAAAGGAGTTCACCCGTTGCTAGTTACAGACTCCGGGTTTTTCAGATGTACCGTCTACTATTAACTAACTTATAATATTGACTGGACTAATATGGTGAATCTACAGGCTTTTATGTGTCTTGGTTGTGAAGCCCTCACCAACTTTGGTTTGAGAATGGTTATATAGAGATATACTGCATATCATAAAAAAAACACTTGTATGACTTTTAGATTTAGGCTGGAAAGGGTATAATTGTTTACACAAAACTGCATTGGCAAGATTTTTAACAGCAGAACAGACAACAGGAGCAACTCACCTTTGTTGCTTTGTTAACAATATCCCGACCAGTAGCCAAGCCCTGAGATAGTGCTCTGGCTGCAATAAAAGCCCTTGATACCTGAATTTAAAAGGAAATCAAACACAATAAGATTAGTTAATTGATCATTATCAATCTGCATCAAAGTCATTTCTTTATCCATGTTAACATTTCATCACAAGACACATACTTGTACGCGCAGTTTGCGGGGCACATCCCCAAATGGCTGCAGCTGTTCAGCGTGTTTGCTGACGCATTCCAGGTAGTCCTCACTAAACTGATACTGGGGATTAATCAGAGAGAAGACTCGCTCCACCAGTCTGGACCAGAAGTCTGAGAGAACCTCTGACAGACTAACAGTGCCCCCTGAGGACACAAAAGCAACTGTAAGCGCACAGCATCAGTAATCTGACAAAAATCATGTTCCTGAGGGGGTTTCTGAAAGAGAGAGCATCATATTAGGGAGCATTTCAGCAGAGTGGGTGCTGAATACTCATCCTTATGCAGTGTACTACTGTGATGATCATTGGGGCAGGTTGGAGAGATAGTTCACCCCAAACTAAACGATCAGCTGTATCTGTTCACTGTCATGTGAACTTATGCTTGTAAACCCACCAAACACGTGGTGCGTTAGCCCTTACTGCTCCAGCATGCAGTGCCACCTGTCTGAGATAACAATGAGACAAATTAACCTGACTTTTGTTATACAGTGTAATTGTTGGGTAAGCACAATGCACAAGCTCTTCGGAGAACTTTGATGGACATAGTTTTGGATATTCCATTAAATTCCTTGTTGATGCCATTAAAAGATAACTTGAAGTTAACTTGTGTAGTTTGGGAAAAGGCTGAGATGTAGTTAACTGTGGGTACTAACCACATTTAGTAGTCCTACTGTACCAACAGTCCTGCACATTTTGAATTTTCTTTTTTGGGTGATTTGGGTGCACCATAGCACTGCACTCCTTGGAGCAAGTTACCACAGAATATTGTCAAATCAAATAAAGTAAAAATGTACTGACACTTTTTAAAAACAAAAATGTTTTTTTATTCCTTTAATGTCTATATTGTCTGGTAAACTTGCATAATACATTGTGTTCAGTGCCAGACAGTTCTGAATATGTGACTCTCCAATCTGCAGTCTACTATACAGCCTCAAATTAGCCATACATGGTGTTTGGCAGACAAAAAGAGGTTGACTAAGCAGCAACAGCTTGTAGATAGACTCGCCAGTGAGCTACTGTCATGCCAAAACGAGCGATGCAGAACAGAAATAGAAACAGTCATCTGTGGGATTCCAGTTCTCGCTCTATTTTTTCTCCAGTTCTCCTTGGCATTGAGTTGAGTTCTCCCGAAAAGACAATACTGCCTTCAACCTGCTGTCTAGAGGGGCTGTGGATTTACCACATCCAGGCATTTGGACTGATAAAACTATGCTTTACTGCCAGTGCAACACGGCTCTTAACCGGACTACTTAACCATTTTTACCAACCAGACTACTGCCAAACAGGGTTCTTCTGCATTTAATTATTCCTCATGGTGGTGATAGAGGATGTAGACAACGGTCAGGTCGCTTGACTGAATACTTTTCTCTTGAAATTTGGTTGTTAGCATTTAATTTCAACAGAATGCAATAAAAGATGGACGGCTTTTATTTTTTCAAGCCGAATTCAGATCAGATTGTTTGGGCATTTTGCATTCTTTGAAAGTTGAGAGTAGAGAGAGACAGGAAACATGGGGGTCACCAGCCAGAATGTTATGTGTCTTAGACCACTAAACCACATGGATGCCACTGATTTAATTGTTTTATATAGCACTGGTATTACTTGACAAAGAACATTAGACCTTCTTAATGCATAAGATTGAGATGAGGTGGATAAAGTGATTGAACTAACCAGAATAATATCTGCGCAGCTCCACAAACAGCTCCTGGAAGACGTGTGCGTTTTGGGTGAAGAGCCGGCCGTAGGTCTTCGTAAACATCTGGTTCATAGACTTCTCTGACAGGTCTATAAGCTCTCTGAAGAACTCTGCACAGAGACAGGAAAATATATATATGAGTTATTAATCTGTCAAACACCTTCTTTCCTTCCAATAGCTTACCTAGGTTTCTACATATGTAGGTGCTCCTTCACCCCCTCGCCTCTACGATTAGCAGCTCATAGGGACAGTTACATGAGATCCTGCACCCTGGTAAATGAATGTAACAACATGTACTCTATTTAGGACTTTAGGACTCATATGCAGTCTCCCAGTCTCCCAGTCTTCCTTCAGCGTCTTTAAATGATTCATCACTTACATTATATAAAAAAAATTAAGAGGGAAGGTGATAGCAGTCCACAGCATGTAGGAGGAGAAAGTGTAAATTCAGCTGGTTGCTACAAACCTGCAGCCATACATACAGAATTGAGACAGCGTGGGCTGAATTCTCTGAAATGCAGTCACTAAAGCTGTCTAGGAAGGTTTCCCACGCTGACCATTTTTTAAAGGGCACTCCACCAATTTTTATACATGAAGGTCAGTTTACGGCCATGTTTAGTCCTACTCTGTCTGTGAAAATAGTTGTTTAAGCTGTAATAATGTCTTCTGTGGCTCTGGAGGGAGCGCTCAAAAGTCTGAGGAGATTATTTCATAGTGATGTCATCAGGGTTACTTCAGCTAGCGATTACAAGTTTATAACGGTCTGTATTAAAAATGCTCCCATTTTTAATACAGACCGTTATAAACTTGAGGAGTCACTTATCCGGCAGAAAGGGTCCAATTAAAAATGTAATCGAGCATTATGGGAAATGCAGAATCCAGTGTTTATAGAGCTTAACTCATCCACTGGACTTAAAGTCAGGGTCTATATACTTTTGCTGCTTCAATTCTGAACATTATTATATTATTAATTTATAACCTGTTCCCCAACATGCACTTATATTGCTGGAGTACCACTTTAATTTAAGCAGTTCTTGTGTGTTGATTAATCATAAATAAGAACCATGCTAGGATCTCTGCAGTATGTATGCATTGCTGTGCTGCCAGCTTCTAAAGTCAATTTTGAGGCTTAGATTTTTAACCATCTGAGAGGAACTGTGCAGTCGGAGATCCTAAATAAGTTTTTAATCAGCTGTCATTCATCGCCACTAACTCGGAAGATAGGGTGTGTGAGAAGAGGAAAAGCAGAGTTTTCTTCTTACAAATGTTTCAATTTTGAACCACTTTCAAAGCAGATAATGCAGCCATTAAAGAGGATTAGAAACTGTACAAGCCTCTGAGTCAGCCTCTCACCATCAAACCTGCGGTGTCTCTGGGTAAAAGTAGTCAAAAGAAACTGGCTGTTCTCTTCCACAGCTTTGACGAAGTCCCTCTCACTCTGAAGAGCCAGTGTCTCCTCCATCTGACTGGAGCAGCAGGTGTAGTCTTGAGGACACAGCCGCAGGTGCTCACCTGGAAGACCAAAGGTAAAACCAGGCCAGAAGAGAAAGAACGGTTAGGATCGATCACATGTTTAGAAACTTATGTGGCTTGAAAGTTATTATTACCTCAACAAAAACCAAGACTTATTTGCTACAGGTCTATTATCAGGTCAAAGCAGATGTTTTAGTCAAAATGTCAATTTCTGTCTGTTCAGTTACTGTGGGGAAATCTTATCAAAAATAACATTGTGATAATAAATTGTAATTTCCCTGCATGAATTATTCAGCTTCAATCTGTCTTTCTTTGTCAGCTCAGGTTGGGTCTTCTTTGATATGTCAGAGGTAATGATATGCAAACGACAACCAGGGAAGAGAGGGGGGAAAAAACACAGCACTCTGAATGTGGGGAATGTTTGAATTCTTTGTTTCCATGATTTTACATCTTACATGAATATTACGGCTGTTAATACAGTGGTCAGTCTCACTCCCCATTCCACCCTCACTGATGTTCCTCTCTGCCTCTTTTGTTCTCTTTCTCTGCGTGTGTCTCACTATTAGCCATCTCTCATCCCTCTATTTCCATTTCTAAACTGCCTCTCTTCATCCTTCACTCTCCCGGCCATCTGCTCCCCTGGCCCACGGGACAGTGAGCCAAGACTCGGGCAGTGATAGCCCAACACACACACACACACACACACACAATATTGCAGTTGTCTCAGTGACTCACTCACTCAAGTAAATTACACTAAAGAACAGCATGGTCTGCAATTTTGCAAACATACTCAAAAATGTTTTTAGAGGAAGCTCCAGGTCTGTCTGGGAGTAACACACTCTCTCTCTCTCTCTCTCTCTCTCTAACTGATTTACATGCAAAGCTGAACCTCCAAGAAGTAGGCTACATTTTCAGTCACTCAAGTGCTCCATCATTTACTCCCTCACTTTTTCAGACAATTACACATTTAAACAGATGTCCACCTAAAATCTCCTCCCCTCTTTCCTCTGTCTTACTTGCTCACCAAAACAAATTATCCAAAATCCAGCTGTTTGTAATCCACATTATATCTTCTCATTCAGCAGATAAGATTATCACCAGTGAACAGAGCCTATGGGTATATGCAGGGATTTCACAGCGGGCCAGTAAGCAAAGACTAATTAGGGGCGAGGTTCTTTGTTGCACCGGTGTTGGCAATTTGCTCATCCCCGTAATCAGCCTATTTAAACAGCAAGGGGAGGAGGGGGCGGGTGTAATTTGTTTAAAACCACGCCGCATTATTTCTCTGGAGGAAAAACTCACCATGATATTCCTATATTGTGTCTCCGGTGCTTATTAATGAGTTTTTTTTAAAGCTACCTTGCACTTTCAAGATATCACTTCCCTATAGTGTTTGGTATTTAAGAGCATTTTTCTACTATTATATTACTATTGTTCCCATAACTATTAGCTAATATGTCTGTGGTGGTGAGCAGAGAGTTTAAAGTCACCTTATTCTGCAGCGTCGTATTTTTATCCCTGTTGAAACAAACTACAGTATTGTGACGTAGGCTGTACGACGTGCATCTTAAATTGTATTAAAAGCTTTAATAACGTAGGCTACACATTTAGCCTATTAAGATGAGGCGGTGGGACTATTCTGTACGAGTCCCAAAAACTGTCTATTTGTGTGTAGTTTATCCCCACCGCAGATCCATGTCCATATCTTACCGGAGATTTGAGTCAGCGGCGCGGTGCCTGTGCTGTAGCCCTTCTCCGCGTACACCTGCCGGGTGTCGGCGCAGCTCCTCCCCGCAGCAGCCACTGGGCTCCGGGTCTCCGACAGTGCACAGACCGTGCAGAGCAGCACAAGCAACGGGTACCTGGGGAAAGGTAACCGGGTATCCATCCTCACCGCAGGACTCGGAAGAAGACAGCAGGGGAGAGGGCGGGTTGATCTAAAACCAGACGGGCGCAGCACCTTATAAATAAATGAATGAATGGCCGGTTTAGAGGCACGCTAAAGTAATAAGAGTAACAGTATCCCAAATCGTCAATCGTTTAAAACAGTCATAGTTTCCCTCGATAAGTGCAACGACCAGATGCATTCGGGCTGGTTTCTACAGACCTATCGCATCTATGTTTCTATAGACCGTGTCCAGTTAATTTATCTTTTCAGGGAAATCCGCTGTTGTACGTAGATGTAAAGGGAGTGTGAATGGGGCACTCCCGTCCCTCATCCAACAGCCAAACTGCGTCAAGTTCACAGGAGTTGGCAGGAGAATACCGGAAAAGTGACTGTTTTCAAAATAAAATAAAAGGCGAGTTTATTTATAGGCTGTAGCATTTTTTTCCCTCAAGTACTAGAGTAAAATAAAATGACAGATACAATTTTGCTGAAATTGAATGAAAACTGATTAGACAAGAGAATAAAAAATACAGATACAAGATATGAATGAGTAGTGCTGGATAATTTAGAAAAGGCTGTGTCTCCATTTTTATTTTTTATTTTTATGTACTGTTCATTTCTGTCTTTTCTAGGATCAACCATAAATGACAACAGCCTCCAACAAAATATGTTCTTATATCATGTTGAAATAGTTTGCATTTTAGTAGAACAGAATTTGTGGCTACAGGGACAGATGTAGGCTACTATAACAGCCTGGGTTATACTCATATGAGTTTCAGATCAAGACTAAGTGCAGTTGTGGCACAGGAAGGTCCAGAAGGGTATGTTGTTTTTCAGAGTGCCTGAACATGGTCATGGAGCTAGGTTAGATGACCTGTGGCAATATTTACATCAATGACACACGTGGATTTTTCCTGGATTACTGCCTTGGTTAAAAGTATAACAGCACTTATTTTTAAGTATGCGAAGACATTTTAACAAAGTTTCAGAAGATTTGTCATTGTTTAAATGTGCTGCATTAGACTTTTCAAAGGGACAGAGGTGTATGTTAAGTAAAAACTGGCAGGCTAATTGGAGCCATGAGAATGTTTTGGCATTGAAAGGTTTTCTGCTACTGTAAATTCTTTGGATAAAAAGTGTCAGCTAAATGTATGTAAATATAAATGGTTTGAAACCGATGCTGCTCGCTGATGCTCTGAATAAATGAAATGATTACCTGTGCTTATTACTGTCCTGCAACAGCCACATATACTGGAATGTAAATGTTTTGTGTCTGCATTTGATTAAGGGATGTCAGGATGTAAAGAGAATTTCAAAAACAAATGATTCTGAAATAAATTGCTTTAAGCACTATTCCAGCCCAAGTTTGATCTTGCAGTTTACATCATTCTTATACAGGGAAACAGTGGACATAACTTAAATAAATATATTTAGGATGTCCAATTGAGGGCTTAATGTGTCATGCCTCTGGGTTATTTTTAAAAAGTTGTGATGCTCAGGCAATGAGTGTTTTAATTTGAAGGTTCGGACCAGAAGTTGTGTGTTTCACCCCAACTAATTTGACTCTGGTGGTATAGCCTATCAAACACAGAACAATGGACCGTGCAGGAAGCCGAAAGGGGAGAGATGGGTGCAGAGCAGAGTCTGGCTGGGCGGGTAGCAGCTGAGCCAACCACCTCAGGGTCCTAAAACTGGACAGACACACAGAGCAGACAAACTGAAAGATTATACACGGATACAATATGCCAGTAAATATAGAAATGTAGGCTTATAGGCGAAATATCAATAAAGAGGGTAAAACAAATTAACTGCAAATATTTCACAGTTGTATTGTTACACACATATCACATATATTCAGTAATAGTTAAGTTAATCATTTGAATTTATGTAATCATTTATGCACTGTGCAAACCAGAACTTCTGGTGTTGGGAATGACCAATGAACACCAAGTGCCCTCCTAGAAGGACCAATCATCTTTTGAGCTGAGGAGTCGCTGGCCAATCGGCATCCAGAATCAGTGACCGTACTTTTGCGCGCCCTTGAAAGTCGTCCTTCATGAAGACAGAAATCGGATAAACCAAGTCGCTCAAGAAAGGAATATATTGATTAGTAACTTCCTTTTATGAACAAATTGTCTAATAAGTTTGCTAATGATGATTATCAATTATTCGCTGTAAGAGTTAGCTGGTTAAAGCTATCGCTGTCTGTTTAATCGGGATCGTGTCGTGTCTTGTCCGTTAGTAACCCAGGATCCAAACGTTAGCAAATATTTCGTCCAGTTTGTTTTATAAGTCAGATGTGTCCTTTGGTCGACAAAATTATAAAAAGTTTAGAATTATGGTTACAAGTCTGACAATGGACGTTTGAAATACTATAAACGAGTGTAACGTTAGCTAACTAACAAATGCTAGGGTTAATAAGTTAGCTAGGTTTGATCTTGTAGCTAATGTCGATGTCTCCTTTCCCACACAGTTTGTCTCTGTGCTGAAAAGTGTGAGCAAAGACCAGCTGACCTGCAGTTCAAAATCATCTCATGATTTAACTGAACATGGCAAGTGGGGAATCTGTTTTGGACAGGTAATGTCAGCAAAGCCCAGCTAATCTTTTAAGTGGTTATTTGAATCTGGTTTAGCTAACTTAGCCAACTCTAAAGACTCTTTTCACAAAGTCAGTGTAAAATTGTAGGGTTGTTAAACTGGCATAGTTTATTTGCTCTGCATAAGCACCATGTGTGCATAAATAGTTTGTCTATTAGTTTATTTATAAGGACTGGACATTACGTTACACATACATATACATATAAGCAAGGCTAATTACTAACACCAGTCTCTTGATGGGTACTGATAGTTCAAGCAATCATTAAAATTATATTTTACAGTTTAAAACTATCCAGCAAAGAGTCAAGAAGAGGTGCTGAAAAAACATCCAACAACACAAACTATGAAAAAGAAAGGACAGGACAAAGACTAAAAGAATAGATACAATAATGATAATAGTTTGAAGGACACTGGGAGCGCCTCTTTAACTGACATAGCTGTTGGCCACAAAAACAGAATGCTACAATAACTTTCGAATAGGGGTACAAATTAATAACTCGTGTACTCAGATTATCATCAAATCAAAAAATATTATGACACCTACCCAGCTCTGTAGTCCTGTTAGCCTTAGTAATAATTATTTGTAGATTTGTCATGATACATTTTTCTTACTTGTCTATTAGTCTAGAGGAGTTGGATGACTTCTCAGATCCTGGCAGTGACTATGAGGCCACGATGAAAGCCACAAAGCGGAGAAAACAGGCAGTGTCTGGACCTCAGGTAAATGTATTATTATTACTATCTCTCTCTCAAAATAGTTCACTCTCATGTACTATTCATTTAAATTATTAACAAAGGGCTACAGTCTTGTCTAGGTTTGGTATTTTGTATTATTTCGAATCAAGTTGCATCATTATCGATCATTTCTCAGTTCTTAACAATAGATCAAAAAGGCTCCACAATAATAACTGCAACAGTGTTGTAAGCCTACGCCTTCTCTTGCCATGGCTATCACTAATTCAGTTGACAACATCAGTTCACTTTAAATCCACTTCTGAGCTGCCCTCCCATCTCTCTTTCATCTCAAGCCACCCAAGAGACCCAGGCGTAAAGCTGCATTGAAAGTGACGTCCAGCCCCAGTGATAGCCCCATCCCCACATCTCCAGACCCCTCCCTGCTGCAGCTTCAGCACTCTCGAGGGACATCCAGGCAGGCCTCTCTTAGACCTGTGATGAGAGTGAACGAAGGGAACCAGGGCATCAGTTCAGGGGACCTCTATGATGCTGTGTGCTCTGGAAAGAGCGCCATGTTGGTGAGCATAAGGGGAATAGATAAACACATGAAGGGAGGGTGGTGCTGAAGGAGGCATGTGTAATGGGAAGAGAAACAAGACTGTAAGAGCTGACAATGAGAGATTATCATCTTTTGTCAGTGGCTGACTGATGTGATGCTACAGAATTGCCTTTGATACACAGAGAGGAAGGATTGTTTTCACTGGGTTGTGTAGTCAATGATTGACAGCATGCGTCCATCCCAACAATTGTCGTGCCGTGCCCAGTCTCTTCTGGTTAAAGACTAGAAAAGAAGGACTGCATAACAATAGGAAGACAAAAAGTGTGGTGAGAAGTAATAAAGAGTCTGTCACTACAGTATAGAGCAGCAACACAATGCAGATGGTGATTCTGGGTAAAGGCCCAGTTTTATACAGCACATTCAGCAAATCTGGCAAACTGCAGATTTTACTCCGCTATACAAAGGTTTCACAGTTCTAAGCTAAATTTTACTCCATGCCTCTTCTACTACATATCCAATTTATTACAATTAACATATGGTACACTATTATTATGAACACAGCAGATGTTCTAAAGAAGTGTCTTTATATGTGTAATGCTCCCATGGTTGCCAAAAATGATTATGCAAAGGAGATGGTGAATAAAACTGGAATTTAAAATGAGCAGAAAATACAAGCAGAGGAGAAAGTTGGGGCACACTGAGCCTCATATGTTATTGAGAATAACATAAAGAGCCAATGGTAGGCTGAATTTTATTTCAATGATATACTGTTACTATATCCATCTGACCTTTGATCTGAGCCCAGCCTTCTCATTGGATGCTATCTCCCTGTCAATCTTCAGACGGTGGTGGACGAGTGGCTGGACAGCTACAAGCGAAGCCGAGAGGCGGGGCTGCTGGTGCTCATCAACTTCATTGTTCAGTCCTGCGGATGCAAAGGTCAGAGGTTAAGAAGGAGCCCACATAAAGGGTGGAAGTCAAAGTTCAAGAGATTATCTTCCCAATTTCAGCTCAGGCAACGATCAGCATTGATCTCCCGGTATGGTAATGATGCAATGTGTAAGTTCTGTGTTCATCCTCTGTCTATTGACAGCACACCATATCAATATTTTATGAGAGTCGAATGAAAATGAAAAGAAATTATACAATGGATGATAATTTTTGGGATGCAAAGATGGAACTGAATGCATTGTATTATTACATTAGCTTACCTATGTTCAGGTGTTTATTTCACTTTAATTCATAAGGTGGAACACTGCATTAATGTTTTATTTTTTTGTCCAGGTGTGGTTAGCAGAGAGATGTTTGACAGCATGCAAAATGCCGAGATCATCAGCACACTAACTAAAGAGTTCAATGAGGTGAGGAAAGGAAAACACTAGTTCAGACAGTTTAGATTTTTTCCAATAAATCCTAAAAGATAAAGATTATTCGTACAGATCTGCATGTTTGAATCTAGTTCACAGCTTTTGTCATTCCTTCTCACTTCTAATAATCCTGCAGAAATTTGTTGAGAATGACAATCAACCTCTATATCCCAGGAGATTATTATCCAAAGGATGGAGAACAGTGTGATGGAATACACTAATTAAAGCCTAATGCTGATAAATGGACACATTAATGAGTTAATCACTTTGTTTTGCCACTGATGTAATTGTCATTAGCAGACAAACCACAGGCTTCTACTTCAAATGCCTATATTCAGCACAGTTTAAGATGTTTCTCCATTTCTTTTGTTCCCTGTCATCCTCCAGGATTCTGTGGACTACCCTCTGTGCTCTCCAGGCCCCCAGCTGAAGCGTTTCAAAGCCGGCCTTTGCGAGTTTGCTCGGGTTCTGGTGCGCTCCTGTCAGAATAGCCTCATCTATGACGAGTACCTCTTCCCCTCCCTGCTGGCCATGCTCACCGGCCTGTCGGACTCGCAGGTCAGAGCCTTCAGACACACCAGTACCCTGCTTGGTAAGCACATCGGACAATACAAGTGCATAAAATAGAGTATACACACACTGATATGACAAGGGAGTTTTGATTTTAGTTTTGAGTCCAAACTTTTTGGTGGGTGGTTATCACTTTAGTCATATAAGTCACATGCTTTAGTTTTTGATAGGGGTGAAAAGCTGCACTACATGCTTATGAAACTGTAGGTTATTCTCCTGTTTGTGTGGCAGGCAGACCAATCTGCTCCATTCAGCTGACATCTGTTTTAGTTGCTAAAGATTTTCTTTTGTTTTTTTCGTGTATAGCTTGTTTTTGTTTTTCTTTGTAAACCTCTGCTCATCCATGTGATTTCTTTCCTTCATTCAATCAAACCATAAAATAAAAGTCAACAGCTTATATATAATGCGATTAGGCTGGTAAATTCTGTACATTATCAGGGATTAAAATTTACGTTTATATACTGTTGATAATAAGTCTTCAGTCAAGAAGGTAAGTGTTGTTGAGGATTTCTAATGTGTAAATGTGGACTGTGACTGTACCCATTTTATGCAACTTTCTTCTTCAATAAAATGGTAAAATCTTATTCTGAAATTAAAACCATGTGTAGTGAAAAGGGGCAAATGTGGCAGTGCCTTTATCCAAAAGAAATTCTTGTTTTTATAAGAGTTAATTTAGAAACATCACGTGTTTTCCCCTGAGATGGACCCCTTGGTATGTGTACTTCTGTCAGTACTGTCTAGCCTTGTCAATGTTTTTTCTCTTAGCAATGAAGTTGATGACTGGGCTGGTGGAGGTAGCTGTGATGGTATCTGTTCAACTGCAGACCACCCAGCGGCGATATGACATGGAGAACAGCAAGAGGGCGCATGACAGATCAGCTGACAGACTGGAGGAGCTGCAGGCCTCTATCAGTGAGGTGGCAATTACACACACACACAAACGCTGGCATGAGCACAGACATACAACCACTTACATTGGCTTTTACAAAAAACATCTTACAGGCGCTGGCTGTTTTCTCGTTTAGTTTTTTTGGGAAAGGGTACAGTGGGTATTGCCAACGGCCAGTGTTTTGTAGGCGCTCAGAGTACTCAAACTGAAATACATATTTAAGACATTCTTTGCATGTAAATAGGTTCTTGACAACAATACACACAACATTTTCCTTGCTTGTGGGAGATATAAAGGCAGGAACCATAAATAAGGAATAAGTGTTAATGTTAAGACTGGTAATACCTTTGTATGATGTTTTGTGTCCATGATGATATTATCTGTCACGATAACAGTATCATCGTTCCTACCCTCACTGATCAACATGGATTATTAGCATGATGTAGACTGATGTAAAAATGGTCAAATTTAATCCATGGTCATTTATAAAAACTTGAAAATGTTGAATATTGGAAAATTTTAATTGTTACCCACTGGTCCTTGCTGTAATAAAAGCTGATTGCCCCAGCTAAACCACAGACTGTATAAAAAAGGGGTTAAACTCATTGACAGGAGTCTTGGGTGACAGGGCCTCTGATTTGTTCAGTCTTAATTGTGCATGTTTATATGCATGTGTTTCACTTGTATGTGTTGTAGCTGCGAGAGAACAGAGAGGAGGTGTCCTCTGTGATGAACGCCACCTTCCGTGGTGTGTTTGTGCACCGTTATCGGGACCGACTGCCTGAGATCCGGGCGGCTTGTATTGAGGAGTTGGGCGTGTGGCTGAAAACAGACCCTGAAGACTTCCTGAATGATGGATGTCTTAAATACCTGGGATGGACCCTGCATGACAAGGTGTGTGTGTGTGTGTGTGTGTGTGTGTGTGTGTGTGTGTGTGTGTGTGTGTGTGTGTGTGTGTGTGTGTGTGTGTGTGTGTGTGTGTGTGTGTGTGTTATATCTATCTATCTATCTCGATAGATAGATAGATATATATATATAGATAGAGAGAGAGATAGATATATAGATATATATATATATATATAGAATAAATAAATGACACACACAGGCAATGAGTGAAGTGTTACTGTGATGTCATTTCACCACTCACTGTTGGCAACACCATGTGAGTATCCTGCTTTTATCCTGCACTTTATAAACTCTGTTTTTAAAGGTGTTGTATAAATAAAGTTGTTGTTGTTATTATTATATTTTCACAGGTCAGAGGTCACAGCTGTTTGTGTAAAGGGAATTGGGCTTTCCAAATTGCACAGCTTTTTTATTTTATATTTATGCATTATAGGCTTTGACAGTCTCTCACACCAGACACTCTTGTAAAATATCTGCAGACAGACACGGGAAGAAACACACACTGACACAAAGAGAAATGTCCCACTATGGACAGACTTTGGCATCAGTCTGTATGCAGGTTACAGAGGGTACGTTACTGTACTTTCTTCTTCCCCTTAGCAAAGTCCAGTGCGTCTGCAGTGTGTGCGTGCCCTGCAGGGTCTGTACCAGGAGAATGAATTCATTGGCCGCTTGGAGCTTTTCACCAGCAGATTTAAAGTGAGGCATCCCTCTGGACTGGACTCACACCTCATTTAATGCTTCTTCCCTCTTTTTTTCCCCCTCATGTCTGTCTTTCTGTCTGTCTGCCTCAGCATCTCTTTAATCTATTGTTTCTATTTTGTTGCCTGTCTCTATCACTCCTCCCAGTATTTTCTCCCCCTCCCATTATTTCTTTGCCTTTTTAGTTTTTTTTTTCACCACCGTTTTTTGTTATGGTCTCTTCCTTTGTCTGGCTGTGTGTCTGGGTGCATTAATTGCTGTGAATTACTGATGGTTAATAAGCTCTTCTCAAACACACAAAAACCCTCTTAAACCACACGTGCTGCAGCAGATAAAGGGTTTTCATGCCCTGGCTTGGCACCAAATCAGTGGGTTCGTGTGCCTGCATGTCTATGGGTGTGGGTACATTTATGCATGTCTGTGCACATTACTTTTATGCCATTTCATTTGTCTGTGTGCTTGTGCCCCAGCATATCAGAATGTGTGTGCGTGTTTGTGTTTAGGAGAGGATACTCAGCATGGTGCTGGACAAGGACTCAGACGTGGCAGTGGAAGTGGTCGATCTGTTGCTGCTGATCCAACAGTGAGGGCTTTGTCTGTCTCTGGTGGTTTCTTTTCTATTATCTGCAACATACAGTACAGGAATTTCATTTTAGTAGATCAAAACATACCAAACATAGTACATTTTACTGAGATAATTTCAAGTGCTTTTTCTTCTTTTTTTGCATACTAGTTTTGAGCATTATTTACAGGAAAGTTCTATTCACAGGCAGGTTAGAGCATTAATAATAATGCTATCCAATAATTTTATTCAGGTAGTCTTGGCACCATATTGTTTCATATTGCCAGTGTTCCTTAAAAGGAGGCTTTTGAATTGATAGAGAAAATAACCAAATACTGCAAATACATCTTGGTTTCCCACAAATAATAAATAATAAAGTCCAGTTTCTTAACAATAGAAATGCAATTGTTAGTCATAACTGTGATAACATTCTCTGTCATTAATTCTGATGACTCATAGCGTGAATCGTGATCTCTCACGTTGGCCAACATAGCGCACCACTGACTCAAGTCGTGTTAATTAGATGTTCTTAGGATTAATTAGCAATAATATAATATAGTAATGAAATTCAGAAATTCCAACTAATAGTGACAAAAATCCAGTCAAATGTCGATACAAATCACTTGACAAGAGTAAATGCATGCTTGATAAGAAAGGGTTTTTCACCTTGTGAAACTAACTGTTGAGCTGTAACTGTTTTGACGTGTGCACATATGCAGGAGGACAGAGGAAGGCCTGAGAGAAGAGGAATGCGGCCACATCTATCCCCTGGTTTACGCTTCACACAGAGGCCTGGCATCTGCAGCTGGCGTCTTCCTCTACAACAAGTACATTTTCATCGTTCCTTTCTGCACGCCGTCTAAGCATTGTAGAGCATGATGTTCAGGTGCAATTCCTGTTTGACTTATTCAAGTATTCAACAAACATGCCCAGGCTTTTAATTGCTTCAGTCTCTGAACTCAATCTACCTATATTTAGGACAAGCAAAACTCTTGCCCCTAACTGTCGTTATTGTAGCCATCTGTGGGCACCCAGAGTTCTAATTCATATTTATACGGAGTTTATAGAAAAAAAGAGATTTCTTGGAGATAAGTAAGCGAGGACATTGAACTACCAGGTAAGTTCTGACAACAAGTGTCTGTTACTTGATTCCAGCTATCAGTCGTACTTTACTATGAAACAAGTTAGCATAGCATAGCCATGATCGATCCCAACTCCATTCAGAAAACAACCACTTTAAAAGTTGTTCATGTGGACAGACCTGACAAATAATGAATTCAGACTTACAAATTGGCATTATAATACATTATATTTATTTCGGCATCCTTTTTATCAGTTTATTTAAATTATATCATGACAAAATCTGTTTGTTTTGGGTTCATACCGTTGCAGTTAATCATATTGAGAGCAAATATTTGCAGTTGTATTTACACGTAAGTAAACAAATAATCCAGTAATCAAACTTGCACGAGAAACATGAGGTGATAATTCGCTTCGCTTTCTATGTGAGCACACCTTTAGCAAAAATAAAAGCTGACGGTTACCGTAGTAATTTCAACTTGGATTATCTTTTATGAAAACCTTTTTGATTCTTTTGATTGGTGGACCCTTATGGACTAAAGGAATCTAAAAAAATCGAGCAATGAACAGATATTCAAACTTTATGATCACTTCAAAGGTAGTGAATCACCACTTCTTTTTCATCTCTCTTGTTGACCCTGCCCTAACCCTGGTAAATCATCTTAGAACTTTTAAGAGGTTTTATACATCCAGAGAACTCCTATGAAAACCAGACCAGGTGTCTAATTGAGACTGCTTTTAATTGATGTAATAGTTTCACAGAATGTGATTTATTCAAAGACATTCCACCAAAAAGAAACCATTAAAACCTTATTCATAAACTTGAGGAGATTTTATTTGAATTTGTTGACAGCTTTTGTAATTCATACCAAAGCTTGGATGAATAACTGTTTTCACTTTTTGGTTAATATAATGCTAAAAAAATTGTTTGTGTGTGTGTCAGGCTGAAAAGTGTGATTGCCAGTGACAACCAGGAGAATGATAAAAGTGACAATGTAGCCTTCTTTCAAATCTTCATCTCCTTCTACATCCAGAGCGAGGTAATGACTCTTTCCACTCTCGTTTCCTCTCTCTTCCAATCTGTCTCTCTTCCTCTGTTTAATGGTAGAATCATTTGACATCATAAAAATGTATAAGTTTCTCCTTTATAATTCTCTTCACCAGTAGTGGGATTTGAAGAAGCACTTACTATTTGACTAACAGAACTGAAATATTAGGTTCTGAAGTATATTTGTCATTATGTTTGCTCATAGAGAATTTTAATTTATTATTTATAATTAAAGCCGTATTATTTATGATTAAAGGTAGACTTTTTTTTTTTATTCAAATCTTGATTTATGTTGACGTCCCTATGAAATTATACTATAGCCACAAGAGAAAACACCAATGAATGAAAGCATCTGTGTGTGTCAAATAGCCAAATGAGAAAACTCAAAGAAAGATCAGTGTTGATTGTGAATTATTACTCTTTAGCTTTTCAGCAAAAGCTGTAATAGTGAGGCAGCATAGTGCATGAAGGATCAGACTTCATCTCTAGTGAAAAAATAAGCACAAGTCATGAGGAAAACAGGTGATATGCTGGAGACGAGGGGGGAAGTTAAGCTACTCATTTATGTTTATAAAGATTCATTCATTTCCTAATAAAAGGCTAATTTCTCTCTTTAGAGAGGATTTTTCCCATTTTATCTAACCGCTACAAGTGAAATTCTGCATTAGGTACTGTGAACATTACATCCTGGTTATGTGAGTTATTATTCATGACAGTTTGAGGTCCAAAAGGAATAACTATGAACAATTTTGCGTTTTTCAATATTTAGTGGTCATCAAGGCAAGTCTCCTCAGTTTTTTGCCCTCAAGTCTCAATTCAAGTCGGGTCTCACAGTAGACAAGTCCACGTCTCAAGTCTACAGCTCTGGGTTGATACATGTCGCATCTTAAATTCTGTATACTGGAACTCTCTGAAGGGTGAATCTCATGATTTGGAAGTTTTGTGATAAACATTAGTATGTAGAGTTTCAGCTGTAAACCATGCATTATGTTATGTGTAATATTGTCATTGTAGTTCAGAAAGACACAGTGCCTTGACAGTTCTGCAGTAAAGCTGCAGAACTGAAAAAGCAATTCATTCCTCTCTTGACAGTTCCATGAGCATGGGGCCTACCTGGTGGATAGTCTGTGGGGTGTGGCAGGATCTGAGCTGAGAGACTGGGAGACTATGACAGCATTCCTACTCGAGGATGCTGGTGAGGAACAAGATAGTGCTGTGCTGTGCAAGCAGTCTTAGCTGAGCCAGTAATTAGAACTCAGCAATACATCATAATCATTTATATAACTCATGTTAGTTTCACCCATCACCCACCCAGTTCTGCACCTGTCTGTACCACTGTGTTGTTAGGTCTGATGTATGAGGAGGAGGGGGCTCTCATAGAGCTGATGATCTGTGCCATTAGACAGGCAGCACAGGCAACCCCACCTGTTGGGAGAACTCAGGGGAAGAAGGTGGTGACACACATACACACAAATACATGATAATTCTCATTAGATTTATGGAACAGTGAAGCTTAAGAGAAAAGAATAATTATTTGATTTTACTTCATATGTACTTATCATAGAGAAAGTCGTAGTTTTTAAGCTAAAATATGCTACTTTGTGACACTAAACACTTCTCACACTTGGTTTTGGTTACCTCACTCTTGGGCTTCATCTCATTTCAAGATAAACAGCTGATCACAATGGGTGACAAGTGCTGGGCATAAACTTGACCACCTTTTTAAGACAAAAAGTTTCAGGTTTTATCTTGAAATATTCAGTGGATTATTTTATTGTATATTTTTGTAATGTACTCTACCTTCTATATGGTTGAACTGCTGTTGTAGATCCTGAGTATGAAGGATAAGAAGGTCCAGGAACAAGACAGGAGACGTATCACCGCACACTTCATCCCCTTACTGCCACAGCTGTTGGCCAAGGTACACAGCCATGGTTCACTTACTATATTACATACATAACATATAACACTTGTGTTACATGTTGTTTAATTGAATACTTTGTCCACAAAGGGTTAAAACTATTACATTACCACCTTAAATTATCTTAAAGTATTACTTTTATTATATGTAGCTACCTTATAAACATTAAGAATGAATTTAAATTACTAATTTAAAATTTCACGTCACATGTTTTTCTCCTCCCCTCACTGACCTGCAGTACTCAGCAGATGCAGGGAAGGTGAGCCTCCTTCTCAAAGCTCCTCTCTACTTTGACCTTGAGATGTACAACAGCGCTCCGCAGCTGGAGAAGGTAGGAGTGGTGAAAATGTGAAGGGCCAACATAATTAATTACTCTGAATTGATGATTCAAATCTCTTTACAAATTACATCATTACCCCTCTCCCATAGTTTCCTCCTATGCACACATTAACATGCTCTTATTCTGAAGTATATTCCTGAGATGTCCATGAGAGAAATGAAAGCAGAAAAATAGTTAGTTAGATAGTGTTCAGAGAGACTGTTTTTATTTCTTATTTTTTGTTTTGTTTAGAGCTTAGTTAATGACCTAACATCTTCAAATTAATACAGATGCTGGACCAGTGGTGGTGGGTACGACAGATTATAGTTAACCAGCTGGGGTGTAAATAAGATCAAGTAGGGAGGCACTTAATTCAGTTGTAAAGGGAAATGAATCACCACAAGAGACACTGAGACACAATATAAGTGGTGTTCAAAGGGCCAGTGAGTATGCACTACGAGTGTACACTGTCATATACACATCTACTGGCTACACCTTCACCTGAATATGAGGAGTCCGGCTCTGTCTTGATTATATAATTAAATTTGTAATTATCCCCTTCTCCAGTATTCATTATTACTCATTGACAAAGTCATTACAATGAATACTGTCTGCCGCCGCTCACTCACTCAAGTCCATGTTCTCGAATAAGTGCGCAAACCAATAAAATGTCCAATGCAATACATGCATGTTTTACTTAACCTGTTCTCCCACAATCTATCCTCAATCTTACATGTCAGCATCTGGACCTGCTGCTGTCTCAAACATGTGGTATTGTAGAGAAGCACACAGAGGTCACTGTGTTGGAGGCTTGCGCACACCTGGCCAGTGCCCTTTGCTCCGACCGCTACACCTTCTCCTCCCGCGCGCACCTGGCGTTCAGCCAGCTGGTTGACAGTCTGACTGATTGCTTCAGCACCTACTTGAGTGACCTGCTGCAGGTTTGCAGACAAATTTGACATGTTATAAAAGGCATGCACATACAATTCTGTCCACCCCTTTAAATCACTGAGAGTAGGCTAAATAGCAGACATACCTAATAGGTGCTAGGTGTACCTAATAAACTGGCAACTCAATGCGTGCTTTTATAGTGTTGGCAGCTGCAGTTTAAGTATCTGTCCTTCATTAGCAATAATTAAAATAGTATATTATAGCACAAATTAGTGTCTCCAATGTATCATACTATTGATTTCAGTTGTCCATAAAAGCATGAAGTAATCAGTTAAATAATTCTAGTACAAGGTGTGTACACCTATTGTATGGAATAAAACTGTGAAAACACAGGATTGTGCTCCAGAACACCAAAAGAAAATGAAAACTTGGGAAATAATTATAAATCACAACTGTCTTTTTAATTGATTTGTTGTGCAAAAGGTAAAAAACTCAGCTCTGTTAGCATCTGTTCTCTCTCAAGAGTGTGTGTGCTTGTATACACAGGGTACTGCAGATGATGATGACGTATACAGTGCAGCCATTGCCCTGAAAAGGATTGCAGCCCTGAGCAGGTAAGTATGTGTTCTAATGATAAACATGGCAGTTGTACAAACTATTTCTTACACAGAAGTATGTGTGTCTGTGTTGTCTAGTGCCAAGGACCCGTCAGGCTGGAAGCTGTTCGACTCCTGTCTTGAGCTTCTGAAGAGCAGGATGGAGTCCAGAGAGATCCATAAGGAGGTATGTGATAAAGGCACGCGTTTTGATTTTATATATATATATATATATAGAAACGAAAACGTAGTAGTGTGGATATAGCCTAAAGCTAGGACTCCAAAACAAAACTTTCCAACTTCCCTTTATTAATTATACCACACCCATAATTACTATGGTGTGGCCGATTTGCCTGTCAGTGGGCCTGGTTGTCAATCGAAATCAGTAAATCAGAACTATAACCAAAAAATAAGTCTTGAAATAATAACTATTGTCTTTAAATATAAACAAATCCGGCTATTTTGGCTCCTACACTGCACATAATACATCATGGAGCCGAAAGATTTATTGCAGTATCTTGTAAAAAGTATTAATTGCCTTTCAGATGAGCCGTATTTTGACTTCATAAACATTTATGCCACCTCTGAATTTGCTCAACTGAAGTACAGGAATTTTTTAGAGTGGGATAAATTATGTGTTATGTGAATTTAGGTTCAGAATGATGAAAGTTTCACCTTGACATTTTAATTATTTTATTTAGTTTTATGTAGATATGAATGTGGAATATATATTTTTCCTTTTGTATCGTTTCAGCTCATGGTGTCGGCTCTGAAGTGTGCAGCCTTTCACCTGATGTGGGCTAAAGTGAATGCAGTCAACTCAACACCAGCCGAGGTGCTCATCTGATGTTGTAAAACCGCTTCATTCCTTTCTCTAAGACTGCATTCATCCTGTTGCAAGTTTAGAAATAGTTTGACCTTCTTTCAGTTTGCACACACCAACTTGGCTCCTGCCTACCTGTACAAGATAATGCAGCCTGCGTGATAAATACATTCCTGATCACAGCCAATTCATGGTGGCCATGTTGGTGGCCTTCCTGTGTATTTGTGGAGCTCTTCTTGTCTGTGTCGTTCAACAATTCACCTGCTGCCCACTATGATACGCAACACATTTATTTCCCTCTGGTTCACACTGTTTCTTAATGTTTGTCTTTATGCATTTGTTCTGTCTCGTTCTCTCATTTTCACTTTTTCTGCTGTTCTCTCACTGTGTTTCTCACACACTGAGCATGTCATTATTACTCAGCCGTTTGTGTGCTTACCTAAACCAGAGTTCCAGAGAAAACTCATACAAACCCCTTCCTTCTGTAAGTTGTTTTCATCTCCTTTTCTCTGTTTTTATGTATTTATAGCAGCACTCAAACTGGCAGGTTCCTCCTGCATGCATACTCTCACACAACAACACATTGAAACAGCCACATGTAGGCTAGGGCAGTAACTGCAAAGAAAAGAGAGTGAATTTTATTTGTGTGCTGACCAATAAATTGTATTTTCGATACGAACATGTGCAATAAACACATCGCAAAAGATTGCCTGCAACACGCTTAATAAGAAAACCAAGTTTATTTAGGGATGTGCACTGAAACGTGTATTCAATGGGCCTGGGGCTAAAGATCATAGTATGTATAATCAGGCTACAGCCTCTGCCCTGCTCTACCTTTTTGAGTAAAAAGCCAATACTTTATCAATACACCTTTTCAACAAGCATAAACATGTAACTCAGTATTTTGATGTCAGGAATATGATTCGTGATTTTATTGACAATATAGATTTGTTTCCAGTGAGATATTATTGAGTTTATGCAGTGACTTTACTGTTGTAAACTTTACTGTTGCTGCTTTAGAAACAACATTTAGTTGTATGAAAAATATTCCATTTTAATCCAGTTCAGAATTTAGCTGGCAACTGATATGCATACTTCTATATTTGTATTTGTTTATATTTGCAGATTTTCCTCGTATCGTGCATGTACTGGCATCCAAGACGGTGGTGCAGTTCATTAATCTCCACACTTTGCCCCTCTTGTTAATAAAGGAAATGCAAATTTTTATCAAACATTACTTGGACAGTGGTAGTAATCATATTTGATGATGGGACCTGCCATTATGTCTTTCATGTCTTAAATCCCAATTGATAAATACATTTAAAAAACCATCTCCATCTGTTCCAGGCGGAACTGAAGCATCTGAAGAAGGAGATGCGTTCATTCTGCAGAGTCTGTCAAACCTGTCTGTCTTTGAACCAGGCTGAGATCAGAGATCAGGTAGGAGCTTTGTTACGGTTAGTCCCATATGTGAACTAGTAAGTAAGCTTTATTTGTATAGCACTTTCCACAGACAGTGTGTTTTACAGCAACAGTGCAGCCATATAATTTTTTTGTTAGGGGCATATTCTTTTTTTCTTCTACAATTCTCATTCGTTAAAGAGCAGGTGGAAGTTTGTGTGCTTATGCCCAAGTAACACAAATAACACAAAACAGACTTCTTAGAAAAACTGGTCTACAGAGTTGTCAGCTTTGACATGCTGATAAACTCGATATTTGTGAAAGGTAACGCATCTGAATTATGATTTTAAAATATGGTAAATTCTAATAAAGTTTGTGTCCTTCCATCCACAGGCATTTGAGCTGCTCTGTGACCTGCTGCTCTTGTACAGTGTGAGCTCAGCCCGCTCTGAACCCGCCCTCCATATGCTGTTCCACCTGCCGTCCGATTCCCTGCGCTCTGAGATGGCTGCTTTCCTCGTAGACTACGTCTTCTCTGACACTACAGATGCTGAGCTCGATGGTATTTTGACACCAAATGAAACACCTACTCTTAATTTATGTTTGCATTAATTGTTATTTTCCAGAAGCACTTTCAGTCTTTGTTAACAAAGAGAATTCTGTTTCAAATGTCTTCAACCCATATGTCACGATGTGCTGCCAGTTCCCAAGCCAAATACCAGTCTCTCATCAGAGTTCTGTTTTGCTTGTCTAATCAACACCAATCAAGTTTTTTCACCTGCCTTTCCTGTCGTACAACTTTCATTTGAACTATTTGTCTATTACTGTCTCTGTTCTGCTTTCCCTTCCCATTCCTGCACCCTGGCTGTCTAGTTGAGGGTGAGGAGGAGATGAAGATAACTCTGCTCCAGAGGAAGCGCAACCAGCTGGCTGGCTACTGTAAGCTGGTCATCTATGGGGTGCTTGACCTCACCGCTGCCACAGACGTCTTCAAGCACTACAGCAAGGTTGTAGGATGGAGATGAGAGCTTTATGCCATAGTTAAGTTTTATTGGTCTAGCATGTTATGTATACATTATAAGCACATATATTAATATTTATTGACTGGCTGTGTGTCACAGCACATGTAGGCAAAATGTTAATAGTTAAATTTGTGAGTTTAGAAATAGTTAAATTCGATGATAATTCTTTGGAGTAATTAATTGGAATGGAAATACAGGAAACAAGTTTATACAAAATGAATAATGGAATGTGTAAGAGAGTGGAGGAGGGTGAGAAAATCTGTTTTAGAAGCAGCAAGGTGCTAAAAATGAGTCAGAGGGAAGAGTGTTAAATGAAGCATAGATGACTAGGAGGGAGTGGATTATTTTTATATGTTTAGATATTTAAACAGCGCTATTAATTAGACTAATGATCATAACTAAAGTTGTTGTTTTTTTCCGGTTTTTACCAGTACTTTAAAGACTTTGGCGACATCATTAAAGAGACCGTAAGCAAGAGCAAGCTCATCAGTCCCGTACAGAGCGCCAAGACTGTCTGTCTGAGTCTGCAACAGGTCTGCACTTCTACCTCGATAACCTCTCTTTCTGTTTGTTTGTTGTGTGAAAGCTGACATTTATTATGATGATACTAATATTGTATTATAATAAAAATAGTGTGAACTGTTGTTTCTCTTCTTAATCACATCTTTTAGTCAGTTTGGTATCTCTTAGTGGTGTTGTTTTAGTTATATCAGCTTTCATCATTTTATCTGTTTCTTCAAAATCATCCCGATGGTCTGATGACAATTGTGTGTTGTTTACACATAAGGGAATATCTTTGCAGTGTTAAACAACAGCTGCCTAGAACCAACAGATGTTTATCAACAATTGGCTCTATCTAAATTTTTTACTGGATTGATGCTTCAGCTTTCTCTCTACATGCATTATAAGCATCTTTACATTGTGACAATGTGTTATCTGCTCAACAGGTACAAGTGCACCCTCAAGTGTTTATAAATAAGAATCTATGTCTTTATGCTCTATCAACTGTATGACTAACATTGTGATTGTGCCTGACAGATGGCCAATTATATAAATTCCAGATAAATACATAAATGTTCTGCAGTTGTTTAGGGAATTTAGTGTTTAATGTGGCAAACCGCTCCTCACTAAGCCAATTAAAAGCAGCACTTGAATTTCTTATAAGTATTTCTTAACTGTCTTAGCCAGCTAACAAGTGGAACAGCCTGTCCTTATCTATAGAACTGTTTGAACGGCATGCCTTTTGCTTAACATGCTTACTTAAAGTCATGTTTTTGTGTGTTCAGCTGTTCTCAGAGATGCTTACGGAGGACCACAGCAGGCAGGATCTCGGTGAGATTAGAGACTTAGCCAAGAGGCTTGCCATGAGCTTTGGCATTGATCTTCATCGTGTCCGCAAACCACTGGTGGCCCTGCACACGCAAGTAACACACATGTCTCTGACAAACACATACAGACCAGCCCTGTCAGGTTATCACGCAGTTTATTCAATTTTGATTTTACTATTTTACCTACTTACAGCTGTGAGGGCAGTTTTCTGGCCCTTGTGGGCAGCCATAGCCCAGTGCATGTAAAAGGCACTTTTACTCTTAGTAATCTATTTAGAATAGGTAATGAATTGTCGCTCTTGGGTGATGAAGGGTGTAAATTAAACATTAAGGTAAGTGTTTTTATACAATAGCCGTTCAATCTGTCTTTTTTTTCTTTAAGTTAAAGCTGTTGTGTTTGTTCTTAGGGACGGTGTACGTTTTGCATTTCGGGACCCAACAGAGGGAGAAGAGCAGCACCCGAATGTGGCCTTTTTGGAGATCCTCAGCGAGTTCAGTTTTAAGCTGCTGCAACAGGACCGCGCCCAGCTGTGAGAAAATAAAACTCATCCACACAAATATGACCTCTTTCACTGAATTTCAGGACCTTAATAATTACTTAACAATACCGTCTCACTTACCTGCATCCAGTGCTAGTGTTCCAAGAAAGTTAGATTTTCTTGTCCAATAGCCACAAGCTGACAATATTGTACTGGAAATTATTCATTGTAAGTGATGTGAAAGTAGAATTACTGCACTCCTTGTCCAAACTGTGGGCTTGAGCCTATTATATCAAGCTTTGTGGATATTTGGTTAATGTATTAATTATTGCATTGAAATGAATGTGATTCATTATAATTTACAGAAACCTGAACCACAAAAACTAACAAAGGTTTCTCTGTCTTTGTCTTCATCTCTCTGTCACTCTATGGTCCCCTCCCAGGGCTGAGTTTCTGAAATCAGAGTGTCCCAGTGCTGCCCTCTCCTGGCAGTCAGTCAGACTTTACCAGCGTTCACTGGAGGTCCGCTCTTCTAAACCCAAAGAGCGAGAGGAGGGAGGTGATGCTGTCTCCTCACACGAGACGCCTGTAGCTAAACGCAAGAGGACCCCTGCTCAGGGTGAGATGGATACACAGCACATGTTCACAGTAATACTTCAAAAGGTACTACATGAATGATTTAGGAACTATGTAGAAACATCCTGTCTTGAATTCCCTTACTGAACAGGTTCCTCAGAGGTGAGACTCTACAAAGGGACAGTGGTGTTGGCTGCAACCAAGTTATTTTCAGTATTGATTAATCTTGCTATTTTTTTTCTGTAATTAATCATAAAGGAAAATAGTAATAAAAAAGCCCATTACAAGTTTACTCAATTGCTCACATTTCAAAAGCTGGAGTCAGAAAATACTTGACTTGACTTAATAATAATAATAATCTTTATTTGTAGGGCACTTTTCAAAAACAAGTTACAAAGTGCTTTAACAAGTGTAAAGACAATAATACCCAAAAAACAATAATACCCAGTTAAATTGGTGTCCATTTTCTGTTGGTTGACTAACTAACCTTATCTTATCTGTAGTTTCTAAAAAACAGTGTCAGTTAACCTGCAGTTGATTTCTGTCTCCTCCAGGTTCAGAGTCCAGCCCAGTCAGAGGATCCTGGTTGGACAGCAGCAGTATCCAAAGCAGCCTGCACACCCCAGCCCTCACCTCCACAGTCCTGAGACAGCCAGCCAAGCAGCTGACGTCCAGGAAACCCACAGCCACAGAGTCTGATATCGGCAGTAACTTAACAGAGCCGGAGTCTGCAGATGAGTTCTCCTCAGGGTAAGCGGAGTTTACCATCTCTATTTAAGAGGTTGGGAATTTATTGTCACAGGTCAATTACTTTCTGTCTGTTTACCAGACAAAAGCTACTATCTGTTCTGTTCTAAATGAACAGTGTGTGCAGTATTATAGGGCAAAAGGCTGATCAGTTTTGGAATCGACCAGCCATTGTGGTCAGTAAGAGGAAAAGGCTGATTCCTCTGGGCACAAGTTCCTGCTGAAAATCTGTTTTTCTGTTGTTGAAATAAAGTTAAATTCCGATAATTTTCCTAATCTGTTAACTAGAGCTGCAAAGATTAATCGAATAATTAAAGTTGTTTACTTTTAAATTAATCGCCAACTATTTGAATAATTAATTAATCGGTTTGAGTCATTTTCTTTAAGAAAAAATATTTGATTCCAGCTTGTGCATATGTTCTGGTTTCTTTATTCCTCTATGACAGTAAATTCAGGTTGTGGACAAAACAAGACATTTGAAGAAGTAATCTTGGGCTTTGGGAAACCCTGATCCACATTTTTCACCATTTTCTGACATTTTATAGACCAAATGAGAAAATAATCGACACATTTGACAATGAAAGTAATCATTAGTTGCACTGACTGTTAACTCGTCTTCAAATATATGCAGAAACAGCAGGTAGATATGTAGATGGCAAGAAGAAAAGAAGGAAGGGGTCACCTGGTGCCTTGCCCATTTTACCAGCCTGCTAGAATTTGTAATAGCATGAGACAAAGACTTCATGGCTGCTGAAAGGTGCTTGCTGCTGTTCACCAGGTCCCAAATGCGAAAGGTGAAGCCCACCAAACGACGCCAGATCTCCTCCAGCCAGACTGACCCCACTTTGGATCAGGAAAACTTGAACTCCCACCTCACCTTGTAAGACTGGTCTTAGAGAAGGATGCACACTGTTTAATATTTAGAAAATGTAAAGATGTGTCTCGTTTAGTGGTAGCTATTATCAGGTAAGAATAATTACATTAGGATGAACTGTGTTTTTTTTCCCCAGACTATCTCTGATAGAGGACGACAATGAAGGAGGAGAAGATCCTGAGATTGAGGATTATGAAAGTGACTCTGAACATGATTCTGCATATACACTGGTAAAAAATAAATAAATAAATAAAATAAAATCTTGGCCAATGTTGGTTAGAAAACTTTAAAGAAATTAGGGCTGAACAATTTAGAAAAAATATTTAATTGTGATTATTTAGACTGATATTGCAATTGAAATATGATTTGCAATACTAGGGGAAATATTTTTTTTAATTATGGTGTGATTATTGTAAGGATCTGTACCAAACAGTTGTTTTCTTAAGTCTCGAATATGATGTGTAGGCCAGGACATCTCTGCAGCACGACAATATTTAACTTAAAATAGGATTTTGACCTGCAAATCACCTTTTTATAAATATTACACCTTCTGTGATTGGAAAATTGCAGTAGGTCGTATTGACATCTCTAGAAAATTTGTAATTTGTATTAATTGTTCAGCCCTAGAACAAATTACACACAAATTTACATCAAGTATACTCTACAATTAATGAGTCAGCTTTAAATTGTATATTTGTCTATACGATTTATCGTTTGACATTAGTGTAGCTATAATATGCAGGTTTAATTAAATCTGTTTAAAGCATTTTCTAAAGTCTATATTATCAGTTAAAGTAGCATCTTATAATGCATTGCTGTGCCATTACTATGGGCTATGTGAACTGAGCTACAGTTGAATTAATGTCTGAAAATACATTATACATGTCGGGTTTTTGGAGCTGATTTGACTCAATAAGACACTTGGCGACAATTTTAGTAAACACTAGAGTGTAAGGAATAGAGTATAAATAAATAGAGACATGAAGTTGGGACAGTGCCTCTAGTGGTATGTTAATGCAGTTTGGCTTTTCTGTGCTTGACATAAATCTTTTCCTTTTGCTCTGCAGCCTTCGACACGTCACACCTCAGCCAGTATCCTTGATGAGCTCTTTGAGTGAGGGCAGAGAGACTTTGACGCTGTGGGAACAACCGTTCTTTGATTAATATATATCTTCAAACGACTGTGTTTTCAGTCAGTTCAGTTACATTTGAATGTAATAAGTATAAGGGCCATCTGTTCTTCTAAATTACCCCTTTCTGAGTTCATCTATCAAATGTATTAATCTATATTAATATTGTTGGAGGAGAAGACAAAAGGAAAATAATGATTATGAAGACTTGGGACAAAAGTTGTGGATAATCACTGTTAGAAATGTTTGTTTTGAATACAGACGTGTCAGATGTTCAGATAAAATGTTGTGTTGCAGTTAATTTAGATCCCTGTAGGCTGGTAGCAAGATGAAGTCTCTCCTCCCGTGTTTCAAATTTTGAATTTAGTTTGGTAATATCTTGCGCTGTTGTTGATGGCACCTTTTTTTTGAACACTTGTTAACTTAATTTCTATTAAAAGATTATTAATTGAGTAACTCTGAAAGAGTCTTTAAAAAGGTCACAAGCTGTTTAGACATGTATGTGAATCATACTGTCACGCACACTTATAAACAATATAATAATGAATAATAAAATACATGTTCAATGCCATTACACCATGAGAATGATATAGCAGGGGTTGGTAACTGCAGAGTAGAGAAGATTAAAGAAATGCCAACAAAAAAAAAGGATTATAAAATACATTGAGAGATGCACTCATTTACAGTCAAACGTTTTTTATTATTGCAAGGGTCTTCAAGTACTCACATTAATTATATAAAAAAGCCTTTTTACTGGTAAATTTGTAGGTATGATACTTATTCAAGATAAGATTGGTCATGTGTGCTTTTTTGTAATAGTTTTTTCCTGTTCAAGAACTCACATAGTGCCTATTCATTCCCACAGCCTAGTATAGTAATTATTTCTAAAAAGATTAGGCACAATATAAGGTAGTGCAGTACAGGTGACATTACTAATCATTTACTACTTTTGTTACAGGATACAGTTGTGTACAAGTTTTAATTTGTAATTAAGTATTTGTGAGGAAACTACCTACATAACTTTTTCCTACCAGTATATTGTTTATGTTTTCATGTATATTTGTAGTTATAATAAGTGTCACTATAAAGAGTTTACTGTGTGTGACATATAATTGGGGAAACGTTTAATACCTGAGAGTTTTACCAGGTTTATCTTGGCCATGTACTACAGTCTGTTTGAGTTCACCCTTGGGTCACTTGGATGTATGAAATCCAATCATCGCCTTTCGCGCCATTCCTGACTAACAGAGCGGAAGTTTGCCGAGTCACGTGACACGCAATCGCCCGCAACTTTCGCGCCAGACGAACAGCCCGCCTCTCCCTGCGGAAAGAAGCGACATGATTGGCTGCTGCAGACGTCAGACTCGCGCCACTTCTTGCAGTGCCACCGGGGAGAACCGCAAGCTGCAAGTGAATGAATACTGCTCTCCCGTGATAGTGAAGTGACCAGAACGTAAATTTAAAGTACACTTTGGTTAGTTGGTACCTTTTAGGATTTCGGAATCAAGTCATCTCACCTAAGGGTCAACGTCTGTAGCCATGGCTCGTAAGGATTATGCGGCAGAGAAAGGTAACTTTCAGTCACAGTAACGGCATGGTAGCAACAGGTTGACGTAAATGACTACAGTTTGAGCTAAATGTGTTCTCTAAAAGCCTGCTTGGAAACGCAATTTAGTTAATGTATATCATGTAGTGCTTTTGGGTATGAAGTCGGTTAATCTAAACAGTCTTAATTTATTTGTGAAGCAATATATTCAGTCGCTCATCTTGATAACGTTAACGTAATCTAACGTTACCCCCTCGTTTTCCCCTCTGCACTAACTTACTGTAAACCACAAACCTTGAAGTTGTGCATGTTTAGAGTGTATGGATATAGTTTAATAAATCCGGGACATGTACTTCAAAGTGGCAACATAACTTATCGGTAACTAGTTAAGCTTTCTCTGTGAGCTTGTGACTACACGGTGACCCGGATGGATCCGCTTAAACAAAGGAGCAGGCGCCACTGTGCAAGCACATGTCTTAACAAAAGCTTTACACCAGTTAAAGCATTCAGGACTGAATTTCAGTCAACCGTATATAACTTTTTAGTGAAAAGCTGGTATCACTTGGTGTCTTTGGTTCTTTAAATGTGTAACGTTACCATTTTAACTCTGAAAACACGACCCCAAGGTAAAGGAATATGAGAATAGTCGTAACTTAAGACATCCATCGGCATGACTTTTAGAAGCGTTACATCAACACTATGGATATAACGTTATTACAGTAACGTTAGCTCGTCAACTGTTACGCGATAACGTTTATAATTATTTATAAACTGTGAAACCCTGCAAGTAAACGAATAAGGTTTGCCAGTGTTATTCAGCACTCTTTTACCTTTTTATTTAAAAAAAACAACCACAAGGCCGATATTAAACTACTGTTTTAGGCATTTTAAACGTCCTGACAACAAGTCTTCACTAACTGCCACTTGCTGCATCAACCTACGTCACGTTAGCATGCAAGCCAGTTAGCTAGCTCTTTAGAGCTGACTGTCAGTTACACAAGTTAACGTGCCATTTTGAACGGTTTTAATAAGGTGCCAGTTGGAAAGTCTGCTGGTGGCCTCATGTCTTGCTAAAAGGTACTTCAAAAGGCTGGTTAATGTGGGGGTTTGACTCCTCCGTGTTTTGGACATAATCCTATTTTGATGATATGGAAATAAACAAACTGGGCGTCGAAAACGTTTTTGTTTTAACGTTAGACACGCAAACTACTAATATTCAAAACTAAACGGCACGGGTGCGTTACGGTTAACATTAATGGACATTTGTAACCTGGCGTAAACATGTGTTTGCTTTAAAAATCAGCTACTTAGTTTGCTAATATGACTCTGTAAATTATTTGGATATTTATTTTACCTTTCACTTAAAACCGAAACTTTAGTTAACGTTACCTGAGCCATCTGCTAATCTGTGAATTCAGTAGCCGCATCACACTAAGTTAACTGTCTTGTTAGAAGTTGTAACGTTACTTGGCGTGCGTCGACAGTCGGAAATCTTTAGCGTCTATCAAAGTCAGCGACCTCTTACCGCTTAGTGGTTATGTTAGAGCACTAGTGTTAACTAATATTGATGGAGATGTCTGTGCTCAACACAACTCAGCTAAGCTAACGTTAGAAGATGGCTGGCCCCGGTTTGAAAACAACAGACAGGACTATTTTCAAGAGCGGAGGGGCCGCGGAGGGATATCAGAGTGACGAGGCACAAAAGCCATGTGCTGCTTTGTTTACAATAACATCATCGAACACAGAAATAATAAACCAGAGATGCAGATTTTCTGCTACATCTTCAAAGTAAGTGGAGTACTTAAATTATCGTGCTAGGAGTAGTTTGATTTCTTGCAACGAGGAATTAAATATTGTTAGTTGTGGCTCTTTCGAGAAGTGAGGGATATTTTCTCAAAAAAAAATGGACACTGAACTGAGCGCCTCTGTTGTATTTACATTCCTACCCCGGAGCTATCTGCTGCGTAACGTCAGTAATTTCTCTGGAAAACTATGCTACATGGTGCACTCGATTGGAATTTGGTTCCTGTAGTACATCAGTGGCAGTTTGTGCGCTACTGTAGGTAATAGTGACTCATCGAGATTACAGGATGCCATGTTACTCAACAAAGGGGTCGTCGCAGGACAACAAATTAGCTCCTAGTCTCTAGGCCCACTGGTGGTGGTGTCAACATTTTCAACAGCCTTTAAACTTAAAAAAAACAGTTAATATTTAATCAAACAAATGGAAAAGGTAACATTGATTTCTTTGTGTAGATCTGTATCTAACAACAAATAATCTCCACCCAGTGTCTGCTTGATGTGGCCTGTGTTTTTCTGCTGTAAAATAATGCTGGAGGAATCTTTTTTGTTGTTGTTTTGCAGACAAATGCAAAAGGTTCCTGCAGGAGTATTACACAGAGGATGACAATGGAAAGAAGGTGTTCAAATATGGAGCTCAGCTTGTAAGTATATTGATGGCTGTTTTGGCCTTGAGGAATGTTGTTGACTGAAATATAATATGGCCATTTTCACTCAAAAGTCAAGGAAAAACTAACGGGGTTGAGAAAATATTTGCTGATGAGCGGTAGAATATTGATGGTAATTAATATCTTATAATAATTTTAGACACTCTTTCCTCTTGGACTGTAATTTCAGTTAGTTGTTGCTAAACTGAATGTCTTGCAAATCTAGAAGGTGAAACACCTCAAGTGGTGCCTTGCATGTTCTTGAACAAATAGTTTTTGTATAAAATGTCATTTTAGGGGTAACGCTGTTTTATGGGTTATGAACCTAATTTCCTGAATCTCTGAGGGATTAATACAGTTCTTTCTTATCTACATTTGGGCTGTCACACCAGGGTTACAATTAGCCAAAACATCCCTGGTTTAACTAATTCAAGAAAGGGACCTTTTATTGCGCCTCCCTCAATCTATCACTATTGCAGTCTGATAAAATAAAGTAGCAACTTGAAGGTCACAGCTGCCTAAGTTTGTGTGTCCGTGTCATTGTTGAGCCATATCTGTGCTGACAAGGTGGCGTAATTAAGTGGATCGACTAATGACTTATCTGTGTGTACAGGTGGCGCTGGCCCACAGGGAGCAGGTGTCTGTCTTTGTGGAACTGGATGATGTGGCTGAAGAAGACCCCGAGTTGGTTGAGAGCATCTGTGAGAATGCAAAGCGCTACACGGGCCTGGTCGCTGACGCCATCCATGAGCTGCTGCCAGAGTATAAAGAAAGAGATGTACGTATATGTGCACAGTTGAGCCTGTTTTAAACAAAGATAAGGGCTTTTGATTAGAATGACCAGTAAAACAATCAAGTCCTTATCATGATAGTTTTCTAATTGTATGTAATGTGTCTCACCCAAAACCGAAATTAATTCCCAGCACTAATGCATCCATTGCATGCCTGTTAAATACTTCTGGTTGGCTTACTAGGTTGTGGCCAAGGATTCCTTGGACGTGTACATTGAACACAGGCTGATGATGGAACAGAGGGGCCGCGACCCTGCAGATACTCGAGACCCTCGTAACCAATACCCACCTGAACTCATGAGGAGATTGTAAGTTAATCCAGGTTTTAGTTTTTAATGACATATTTTAGTTTATTGATAATGGAGCTTGGGCCACCATCAGTATTTCAAAATTCTTCTAATAGAGTAAATATTGCGCATGTATTTGCATTTGAATAAGTTTTTTTGTATTGAGCTTTAGCTTCCATCCACAGTGAGCTGTACTTCAAGCCTCCCAGCACTACTAAACCCAAAGTGGTGCGTGATGTACGAGCAGACAGCATCGGACATCTGGTGACTGTTCGAGGCATAGTGACCCGAGCCACCGAGGTCAAACCAATGATGACTGTTGCAACGTACACATGTGATCAGTGTGGGGCTGAGACCTATCAACCAGTAAGATTGGTTTTTAGTCT